AGTAGGACTTTGCATTTATAGGCACTATACCTAGTGTAGAAAGTAGTATACTCCTCTAAGTTAGGGTCTATTTAGATCTTATTAAAGGTAGTATAAATATCTAATTTTATAAAGATTTTTACTTTAGCTAGCTAGGATAATGTAACAAGGCTAGGCTAAAATAGCTAGCGCTTACTAGATGCCTAGGCTAGACTTAAACAAGGTTCATAGGTTGGCGCTAGGGTCTAGCACTATTATCTTAGGCTAAGCTTAGCTAAGATATATATATTATACTATGCGAGGATTACTTAGCTTAAGTATTCTCGTGCGTACCTTTTGGACCATGGCCGAATTAGTACAGACAGGGGAGATGACGTAGTATTCATTTTATAGGCAGGGCGCCTACCTTGTTACAGATAAAAGATTATCTATATAGGGTATTAGATATACGTCCTTTTACGTTAAGCTATTAAGCTTATAGTAATCTATATAGATCCTAAGGCCTCTATTTAGCTTCTTAACGCATAGGATAGGAGAGGTAAATAGGCTCTAACTAGTCTTAATAAAACCTTTCTGTAGGTGCTCTTATATATATTCCTTAGTGGCCTAGAGTTCCTTAGTATTTTAATAATAGAGGGGACTCTAGTAGTTTAGAAGGGGTTCCTCTAGGACTATCTTATAGTTATAAGGCTAGTAGATTAGAAGTTTATTAGCCTTAGCCTTGTTAAAGACATCCTAATAGAAGTTATAGTTAGATAGGAGCTTCTAATCTAATAAGCTATAGTTAAGAGTATCCTATTTAGATATAGTTTAGATCCTACGCTTAATCTTATACAGGCTAGTAGTAAAGAATTTATTAGAAGATTTTTTTATATTAAAATAGAAAGTATTAGCAGAAATAGTAGTAATTTAAAATTTTACAGGTAGGGTAATAGTTAGTAATTAGACTAGGGTAGGTAGTATAATAGGTTTAGTAGCAGCCCTATAAGTAGCTAGAATTTTAAGTATACTACGTATCCTATTAATTAAACTAGGACTATTTTAGTTCTAGTTCTCCTCTTAATCCTAAAGGGCGTCTCTTTATAAGATATTATAGGTAACTAGAGTAGATAGCACTTGCTAGTAGAGTTATACTAGAATAGGAGGTATAGGGTTATAGGTTAGAGGATATTTCTCTAGCTAGATTAGTTAAGATTTATCTGTATTAATTAGGATTTAGAACTGTTTTAGCTAGTATTATCTAATAATATAATCCTAAGAACCTAAGTCTACTATTATAAAGGGGTAGTTATAAACCTTTTAGCTACTAACTATTATATAAAGCTAAATATAGTAGGTAACTAGGGAGGTAATCTAATCCTAGAACCCTTTAATAGTAAGCTTGTATAGTAGCTTTTAGATAGGTACCCTAAGTGTAAAAGAGATATTATAAGTAATTTTTAAATTAAGAAATAAATAACCTTAGGCCCTAGTATCTACTAAAGCGTTTAGGTAAACACTAGATCTATTAAGGTATAGGGTTATACGTGTAAGTAAATAGGAACTAATAAATAATTTAGTTAAGGAAAGGTTTAACAGGTTATATTAAGTTAGGCCTAGGAAGGAGGATCCTCCTAGGCATTATTATTTCCTATCTAATAGCTATCTAAATTAGTTAATTTAGTAGCTTCTTTTTCCTTAGAATTCTTAATAACCTATTCTATATCTATAGCCTAAATCCTAGGGGGTTTAGGGTAGTTACTAGAGAAGTGCCTAGGCTTTCTACAATTATAGCAAGTTCCTATTATAGTAGCGCTAGGAATAGCTAGCGTAGTAGATAGGGGTTAATTAGTTTAAGGGATAGTGCCTAGTTATTATAAGTAGGGCATATAAGGTTTAGCTATTAAAGGTCTATTATAGGGTTTCTAATTAGCGTCTAAATAGGACTAGTTTTCTAAGTGTTAGAAGGGGGTTAGTCCTTTTCTAGATAATAGAGTAGTCCTAGTAGGAGGAGATAAGGTAGGGTATAGGCGGCGTTCTATGTTAAAAGTAGTAAGATAATCTACTATAGTCTTAAAATTATTATACTAATTTTATTAGAAAGTAAGGTTTAGTATCCTTAGGGAAGGTATAATCTTTATCTAGAGGTAGTAATACTACTCTAATTAGAGTACTTCTCCTCTAATAGTAAGACTTTAGAACTATAACTTAAAAGTAGGGAATATCTCTATATTAGTTATATACAGGCAGTTAAATATAGTCTAACTCTTAGCTATCTTATTTCTAGTAATAAAGTAAGTTTAAAAGAGGGTAATTATTTCCTTAGCCTTTTAGAACTAAAGACTTAGGGAATTAGATAAGTAACGTGGCTCTAAGTATTCTCTTACTAGTCCTAAGTAGTGTCCCTAGACTAACGCTATCTAAGCTCTAGAAGAGGGGTAGTAATTAGTATTAATCTCTAGCCTATCCTAAATAGATACTTGCTATTATCTAAAAGTAGGATTAGCACTATTACTAAGTATAGAGATATTTAGCGTCTTTTTAGATTATCTCTTAGCTTTTATAGTATATACTATAGGGTTTAATATAGAAGCTAAAGACTAGCTAGGTTAGGTTATACCCTATATCTCCTTATAGAGGGAGGTGTTATATAACTAATTAGTAAGTTACTTAACTTATTCCTCTAACCTCTCCTTTTTAGATAGGGTTAATATATATTTATCTTTAAGAGAGGTGTTACTTTAAGATTTCCTAGGAGCATAAGGTACCTTAAGAGATAGATAGGAAGTAGGTCCTTCTAGGAGGGCGTTATTAATTAAGTCTTCCTTATCTAATTTCTTTCTATTAGTAAATAGGCTTTTAAAAGTAGCTAAACTAGATACCCTTCCTTTACCTTTATCTAATATTTTGTAGTTAATAAGAATAATAAATCTTTTCTTTTTCTTTTAGGGGGTTTAGTTATAGAAGGATATTAGCTTTGCTTCTAATTCCTCTAGGCTTTTAGTAGTCTCTAGGTCTCTACCTTAACGCAATCTAACGCAATTTTTCTAAAGGTAATCTAGCACTACCTATAGGTCTAGAAGTCTAAGCCTATAGGCTTTAGTTATTAGAAGTTCTAATAGCTATTCTAACTATAGAGTTATAAGGTTAGGTAACTACTAGAACTAAATTAGTAGCTTAAAATAATAATAAATGCAATATTCTTAAATACTATTACTAGCTAGGATAATATTCTTCTTATAATATAATAACTTAGGTAGGTAGGGCATCTAAAAGGTATCCTATATAACTTAAAGGTATATAGGAGTGCGCGTCTATATAGAAAAGGATAAGATTCCTACACCTATAGGTCTTGTACAAAAGGATAAGAAGAATATGCCTATCCTAACTATAGGCGAGCTATTCTCTATATACATTAGTAAGTCAGGCCTTTATTAGGCCTGACTTGGCATAGAACAATAGGCAGGCAATTCTACCTTATTGTTACAACTAATGCTCTAACTATACCTAGATAGGAAGAGCGAGGACGATTGGTCTATTGTGGCGAGGACAATTAGCAACTCACGATCCTTTCATCTCCTCAGCGTATAATTAGGGTAAATATTTGCGCAAATTAATGAGGTATAGATACATAGCTTAGTACTGTAGGTAATAGTAGTTGCCGCGGTTGTTAGTGTAACAGGTAAGATAGTACGAAGGCTTAAAGGGGAAGTGTAAAAGCTATTAGAATTCTCTGAAACGGTTTCGCTACAACGTACCTGCCTGAGCCACTTTGCTAGTTCAAGCCCTATTCGACCCAGCAATAGTGAAACTGTTGTTCAAGGTGTATACGGTAGTCCAATGGAGAAGGGCCCTTATATCTCATTCAACTTGATTCATGTAAGTGTTTGTGCATGCGTTCCGAGTCGAACTTGTACATGACTGTCTCTGGCGTCGCGATGCAAGCGGGAACTCTGCTTCATCGATCACTTACCAATCTACTCAGCAAATTTGCCTGTAATAACTCAACCTGAAGGCTGCGATTACGTCTACATAAATTATATTAGCGTTATGAAAGCAGTGCTGCTGTTCTCATGTATTTTGGATAGCATGGCAAAATTGCAAGCTGCAAAATCGTATTGACTTGCGTTGGTGTTCAGTATCATAGAGACTGTGTATCATTCGATCCGTGAGAGTTACTGCTGTAACACGCTGATCGTGTGATGAGAAGCTTGTTTAGCGCAGGCTATTATCATTACTTTGATGTTGAGCAACTAGCGCTGATGTAAACTCTATGTGAAACCCAGCACGATCACTCTAATGATTTTCATGATGACGTTAATACGGATGCACATATTCAGACACTCCCACAAAGGGATTGCTAGGAAATGGGCCCGTAAAGAGCATGTGTTGAACAATCGGTAATGACAAGCGTGGAGAGTGCTGACGCCAAGTACAGATGACCCGAAGTAAGGGGGCACAGGCTTCATACGTCGCTTCAAGAACATCTACAAAAAGGGGCAAGAAAATCTAAATACATGCCCACCACCCTCCCATCTAGAGATGTATCAGAGCGCAAAGGAGTAGGCTCCGACCAATCGTGTACTTCATTCAGAGAGTTCCAGGCTGAGCAACGAAGTTTTCGCACCAAATGCCACGTGCCGGTACGTGCGGCTCTCGAGTCCAATGCACGGCCTCGAGTATGTACGAGCGGTGTACGTTGGGAACAAACTGCCGTCCTATTTCATTGTGATTGCGAACCCTGTAGCGTGCGGGATAGTACCCGGCTTATACACGTTTGAATACCGCTTTTTCTCCGCGTCTCTCTACCGATGGCCGAAAGTAAGCTCTTTTTCCCAGGAGTGTACTACTTCGCTCTGGAAGATGATAAGAGAACTTTATTCTGCGTCCGGAACCATAAGTTTGATTAGCGGAGAGGCACTCGGCTGGGATGACATGTGCGGTGAGGAGGCTCTTCATGCAATATCAGTCCGAAAAGGCCGGATCAAATATGATATCAGTTGCCATACCGAATCCACAATACTATTCCTCACTTCATTGATTCAGTCCATGTGATGCCCGTTTTCGCCGTCTGCAGAGCTACATCTTGCATAGAGGCCGATCCCTCATCACAAATCCGCCGCGAATGTAGCCTTTGCCCTAACATACAAATCGCCCCTGACATTCTCCAGCGTGCCCACAATGACACGAGCAGGCTGCTCTCCGGAACTATTCTTCTTGGTCAAGTCTTTGCTCGGGCTGAGCCAGCTGAGCCGGCTCCTGGTGGGTTCGGCTTCCGGGTCTGGGAGCGGTGTCTCAGCATCCGGATTCTCTGATTCTTGAAAGGATGCGCGAAGAATGTAAAAGTCGAGGCTGTAAGTTGGTTTGGCGTAGGCCATAGCAAGGGTATTGGGGCGGTGGCTAGCTTCTACTGAGAATGCGCGTTAGCTTGTACTATTGCAGATGCGTTGTGATGCTACACAGAGGAAAGGTGGGTATATAAATCTTTTCCTTGGGTCAAGCTAATGAATGATAAACACGTACCCACATGTCCTTCAGGTCCCTTGACCATCCTCGCCATGACTTCTTCGAAAATCGTAGCTATCGCTCCTCCGTGCACGACGCCTGGCCAGCCAGACAATCCCCCGCCAATCCAAACCACAGCCACCATCTCCTGCGCATTTGCATTCCAAAACGCCCTTTGGACGCCGAGCCCCCGCGTACCACTCATAACGCCCAAGATTCCATTTGTGCCCTCCTTGTCGTTGCTCAAGTCCATATCCAGTTCCAGCCAATCCTTGTACGCGGATATTTTTCTGCTGCCACCGCCTCTAGCACTACTACCACTATCACTACCCAGGCCAGGACCTGATCGCAGTGAGGTGTCGGAGCTGAGATTGTACGACTGGCTGCGTAGCGATTGTACGATTTCGAGATTATCTATGTCTGTGCTGAGGGAGTCGAGGATAATTTCATCTTCGCGAGAGCCGGGCAGGGGGAGGCCGAGCGGACCTGCGAAATAGCGTGCGCCGAGGCCGGTAGAGATGCCCAGGGCGAGGATGCTGGCGTACCAGAGGTAGGACCATCGGAAGCCGGAGTGGAGGGGCTGTGGGAGAATATGTTGTGGGCGGGTAGAGGTGCGGAAAGATCTGAATGCGGGATGCGATCGTGTGCGTTGTGCTAATGTTGCGCGGTAACCGTGTATGGAGGAGCATATGCGGGACATGGTGGAAGAGAGGATGGTGGGCTTATTGGCAGCAGTGAAGCTGTGCATCTGAATTGTCAAGCTACAGCTGCCGATAATTTGTATTCACACCGAGGCTGAATGCTAGCGGCTTGGCAAGCATATGCACCCCACACATTTGAGTTCTACATGCTTGGATATTGACTCTATAAGAACAATTGCCCATATTCGTCCACGAATTGATTCAACTGATCTTCATTATCGGCTCTTATTACCTTTGCGTACTGAGCTCCAATCCTTGACCATCTTGGTATCTCCCGAAACATTCGCCAAACTCGCGCGAGATCCGTTTCCTACCAAAGACAGCCACGGAAGTCCTCATCGCCACTTGTAATCTGCAACTACGTTTGATCAGGGTATATAACGAGGTACGTTTTTTTGGCTGCAGATGCTACAGTTGCAGATCACGATCTTTTATTGAGAGAAGGCGAGCGAGAGACGAGTAGTGTATTGAACCGTAATGCAGTGGTAACTTTCTGGGTACAGTGTTCAATACTCTATATCAAAACAAAATAGTACCTAACTCAGTGTCGGCCTCTGCAGATTTGCCTGTAGTGCTGTGCGTGTTGTGGGAACGAGGCCATTGTGAGATGCTGTGCTTTTAGTAAAATCGAACAAGGAGTACTAGATGGAGCTCAACATCAGAAGAATCTCCAGGTTCCTGAAATACAGATAGGCTGCTGGTATAACTATCAGCAATCTAAACAGCGCAAAGTAGGTATGGTTCTGATCAATTCTTGGGCGAACGTCTCCGCGACCAAGGAGGCTGTGTGGGTCCAACCACTTCAACTTCGAGATTTCACAGCATCAAGAAGAATTAAAAGTGATTAAAAGGTCTGTAATGTTGGCAAGGAGGAAAATCCAGAGGAAGTCGAGCTGAACTTCAATGACCCCATGCTATCTCTGCCCAGAACATCCGGTATTATGGTAGGTACAAAGATCCTCACAAGCGTCACCAAAGCAGAGCACAAACACACATCCTATAATTAAACAGCACACTCTAAACACCGTCCACATGTCCCGCCCAAAATCCATTTCACGCCACCATTCCGAATCTCCGTAACCCCCCAGCACCGAGCCCCAACTCTCTCCCTCCCCATCCACACACACTTCCAACCCATCCCAAACCATCCACCGCCTCACTATCATAAGCAGAAGAAAAAAACAAAAAAACAAAAACGAGCAACACCAATCGGAACCTTCAGTCCCAACCCACCCAACATCCATCCACATTTCCCACCTACCGTCCCACAAGAAAAAAAAGCCAAAGCCAAAGCCAAAGCCAAAGCTCTTGTCTCACACACCCTCACACATAACGCACTCTGTCCAATCAATCCCCAAGTGAACACACGTCCGTATCGATCGTGTAGCCGCTCCGCAGGATCGGTGGCAATATGTGTGCTGAGACATGGCCGCGCGCCATGGGGCGTGCGGGCTGCGTTTTGTTGCGGATTCGGTGAGACATGCGTTGTATTGGTGATTTTGTGTGTGTATATATGTGGGACGCGATGACGAGGCGGGTGTGGGTGCGAGTTGGTGCGTGGAGTGATTGTATTTATGGAGGGGGGAGAAAAAGGAAGGTGGTGCAGGGATGGGGCTGGAGGGGAGGTTGGACCTGGAAGATTGATTTGCTCCCAATTTCCGCGAGAAGATGCTATTTCAGGGGGGTTTGGCGAGACGGTGGGTTGAGGGAGTTTGTGCATTTGGGGAGTGGTGACAGGGGTGAAGTTTTGCTGAAGAGATGATCTGAAAGCGATGGGCCACTGAGTGTTCTAGTTTGTGAAGGATTTTTGCAAGCAGAGATGTGGACGGTGGGAATTTCCTGCGTGTTATTCACTTGCTAGCAGGTAATTTTGGGGTAGTAAACTTGAACCAACACCTCATATTTCTCCGTTTGCAGTGATCAGGACCAGCAACCCATTCTTCTGCCGGCTGATCTACGCAAACATGAACGTGTAGTATCATACCCCACTCCTTCATTCCATCTCGTCGCAACTAGCTTCTTCCCAGTCCGCTGACATGGAGGGCGTAAACTCGAACTCAAGATTACAAACCAACTTCATCACAACGTTTGAAATTTTCACCCGAAATACATCCTGTAGTAATGGTCTTGTTTGTCGGATCCATAGAAACACTAGATAACCTTACCTATACTTCAGTGTCTGCGGCTTTCTCATCCTCCTTCATCTCAGCTCGGCAGCATCGCCCACTGGCACTGTAATGACAGCAACCTGAATCCAGAATTTCCTTCTCATAGTTGGTGACACAAGACCACCAGTGTAGTATATTCGTCATCTCTCAAACGCAAATAGCGAATAAATACCATTTTCTTCTGCCCTAGGGGCAATATCACGATTACTTTATGCCTAACCATACCCTTGACAGAGACTTCTTATCATACGTAAGATGCCTGAGTTAACAAGAACACAAGACACCATTCAAGCTCACCTGGCCAGTCCTTCACTCTTTGCCACTTGATCCCTTTGACACCTTGAAACCCAATTCTAGCGGACTGCTCGTATTGTAAGGAGTAGTGAGATATCTGATTTGCCATCAAGTTCAGCATGCACTCCACGCTCGACATCTAAGCGACCGTTGGTTGCATTTCGTAACATGGAGAATCCACAGTTTCGCTTGGACATGTAGATACGGTATAGATTGCAAAAAACACCAAAGATCAGCCCAGACTAAGTAAAAAGTATCCTTGCCCACACTTCCTTTCCCTTCACACATCCCCACTATTCCTTCCTCCCGCACGACACCCCCAGTAAAAATCATCCATAATCCAGCACCACTTCATCTCCCTACCTTCCCCACCCATCTGCACAACCCACACTCCATGCTCCAGCGTCCCATTCCGCAGACAAGACATCACAAGTCCCACAACCCTTTAGATCCTGAATCAACAAACCACCTAATCTTTCCAAAATTCGCATCCGCAGTATTCTAACCAAAACGTGACAAAGCAACCAGAGAAGTTTGTTACAACTGGCTTCCCTTTTCCCATATACCACAACTCACGCTGCTGAGAAATCTACAACAGCACAAAGTCCCTGGTGTGATGGCAGTGTGCCACGTCACATTCCGTGTACAAATGCAAGCCGGGAGGAAAAGAAAAAAGACGAGTGCAGCTGAATCAGTGTGTCAGGATTTCAGGGGTTGGTGCAGAGTCCATGTACAGATACATCAACAAACAAGCGCAATCTAAAACACCGTCCTACACTTCTCCCAAACATCTCCCGCATACACGCCAAACCACAGATTACCGGTGCCTACACTACCCATCTTCCAGAAGCCCGGCCCGGCCCAGGCCAGCCCAGTCCACCGGTAAGTACCATGTTTAGAATTTAAAATAGTAGGTACTCTGCAACACGCAATCCCTAACATCCCACGGCTTACCCGAGACCGTCATGGACATGTACGCCCGGCCTAGCGGTGGGTTGGTGGGAGGTTAGTAATCGGATGCAGGGGGGGTGTGAGACGGAGGGCTGGGGTTTGGGTAAGCGGGAGAGTGATGCCAAGGCTGTGGGATGTGTGTAGGGATGGTGGTGTTGTGGTTGTGGTTGTGGTTGTGGTTGTGGTCATGGTTGTGGTCAAAGTTATCAAATTTCTATCGCCATCTATACATGTATGTATATATCTCTCCTCATCCATCCTATAACTTTATAATCCAGCATCCAACCATCCCACCCCGGTCCCAACCCACCCAGCAAAACAGCAACACCCACAACAATACCAAACCATACATAGCGCTGACTAGATCCCCCACGCTGTCGATACGCTGCCACGTGTGAGTGAGAGAGGAACAAGGAAGTAGGAACTAGGCAGCAGTGGAAGGTGACGGGGTAACCAGGTCGCTGGGTTTGGTTTTGCGTATCGAAAGATGAAAGAGATGTCGAATAATGCCATCTCTGCGTCTCCGTCTGCGTATATATACAATATCATACACATATCCATATCCAAGTCCATAATCTCTGTAGTAAATCTCCAAAAACTACCCACTAACCTGCTCCTTCCATTCACACACCTTCCTCTCACCCTCTTCCCCCTACCATCCACCCCCACCCCCCTCCCTCAAAAACACCCCATCCCCACCCCTACCAGCCAGAAGCCAAAACCCAAAACCCAAAACCCAAAACCCATAATCCATAAGCCATAAGCCGTACCATAAGCGCACGCGACACAACCCCGCCACGCTACAGGACGACCAGAACGCCAGTCCGCGGCCAAGTGCTCACTGCTCAATGCTGACTGCTCACTGCGTGCGGCGACGGGATTTATGATGTGCGTGGATGCTGCTGATGTTGTGGGATGTGGTAGGGGGTTTTAGGGGGGGAGTAAGATGTATGGGGAGGGAGGGAAACAGGGAGGAGGGATAGAGGGAGGAAGGAAAGATGGACGAAGTAAAGACGGGGGACGAAGAGAGGTAGGACAAAGAGAGACCACGATGCGGGAAATGGTGGGGGAAAACATGAGATTTTGGCGTTCGCGCTCTGCAGGATCGGGCAAGAATGTCTTGATCTCATCACTCTCCTTGGTAAAGCCCTCGTCCATGAAGCGATCAACCTCGTCCATGACCAGTGCATCCAT